ATTCTATTCTATTCTATTCTATTCTATTCTATTCTATTCTATTCTATCCTATCCTATCCTATCCTATCCTATCCTATCCTATCCTATCCTATTTCTATTCTAATCTATTCCTATTCCTATTCCTATTCCTATTCCTAGTCCTAGTCCTATTCCTAATCTAATCTAATCTAATCTAATCTAATCTAATCTAATCTAATCTTATTCTATTCTATTCTATTCTACTTTGAATTCTATTTTATTCTTTTCTGAATTCTATTCTATTCTACTCTGAATTCTATTCTATTCTCTTCTACTCTGAATTCTACTCTATTCTGAATTCAATTCTAATCTATTCTATTCTAATCTATTCTAATCTAATCTAATCTAATCTAATCTAATCTAACCTAATTCTATTTCTATTCTAAAACTCTCCCTTTGACTCTCTGGATTCCAGTCCTGAGTCTCAAGCGCAACCATCCCTCATCTTTGAGGGAGTGTTTTGATAAACACATTCATTTTTCCACTCCCCTGGCTGAACCAACTCAGGTCTCTGCTCACCTCGGTCACATTCATAACCTTGATGGCCGCCAGCTGCCCTGTTTTCACGTGGCGACCCTGGAAAAAAAAAAGAGAGAGAGAGAGAGAGAGAAAGACAAAAAAAAAAGACAAAGCCAATAAGAGCATCCCTAATGATAGCCAAGTACAAGCCAAGACATCAAATCCATCATTTTGAAATACATCACTATAAAATGGCCATTTGAAAGCCGCCTCCAGAGCGACGCGAACTATTTGCAAAGCACCTAATAGGAAATCGATATTCCGTCGTAAAGGCAATCTGGCATTTGGTGATGTAACATCGGAAGCCCTCCAGAGTTCCCCTCCTTGGTGAATAAATAAAATAAAGTAAAATAAAATCTGCGACACAGGGACAGCAGGGTAATATGTCGGATAGTAAGAGCCTCTTCTGTGCAAAGCCCCGGATTTCCAATCGGCGAACTGTTTTGCGCAACTAATCGATTGCACTCATCTGCTGAGGCTTGCTTTGTGTGTGTGTGTGTGTGTGTGTGTGTGTGCTTGTATGTGTGTGTTTAGTTTGCGAGTGAAGCCCTTTGGTACTTAAGGTTAAGTGATAAATGTTCATTTAAGGACTGGAGCACAGCGATTTGAGAAAGGAAGCTAGGCAGGAGATTAGCAACAGAGGTGGGATTCAGCCGGTTCTGACCAGCTCTGGAGAACAGGTAGCGCAAATTCTGAGTAGTTCGGAGAACCGGCCAATCCCACCTCTGACTGGAGATTTTACGGTATCCTTCCCCTACCACGCCCACCAAGCCACACCCACAGAACCAGTAGTAAGGAAATTTGAATTCCACCACTGGTTAGCAAGCCTGCGTTTGAAACCCGAGAGCTGCCACGGGGGAAGGGTTGAGTTCCTGTCCTTTGCTCCAGCTCCTGCCGGGGACACGAAAGGAGACCCATCCTTAATTCTAGAAACTAAATTCTTCCTTCTATTCTATTCTATTCTATTCTATTCTATTCTATTCTATTCTGTTCTGTTCTGTTCTGTTCTCTTCTCTTCTCTTCTCTTCTCCTCTTCTCTTCTATTCCATTCAATTCCATTCCATATCTTCTATTCTATTCTATTCTATTCTATTCTATTCTATTCTATTCTATTCCATTCCATTCCATTCCATTCCATATATTCTATTCTATTCTATTCTATTCTATTCTATTCTATTCTATTCTATTCCATTCCATTCCATTCCATTCCATTCCATTCCATTCCTTCTCTTCTCTTCTCTTCTCTTCTCTTCTCTTCTCTTCTCTTCTCTTCTCTTCTCTTCTCTTCTCTTCTCTTCTCTTCTCTTCTCTTCCATTCCATTCCATTCCATTCCATTCCATTCCATTCCATTCCATTCCATATCTTCTATTCTATTCTATTCTATTCTATTCTATTCTATTCTATTCTATTCTATTCTTATTTCTATTTCTATTTCTATTTCTATTTCTATTTCTATTTCTATTTCTATTTCTATTTCTATTCCATTCCATTCCCCTCCGCTCTGCTCCTCTACTGTACTCTGCTCTACTGTACTCTATTCTAAAATGATTTGGGATCCACAGAGATCTGCCTCAAATCTCTCACTCAGACACCCAGATGAATGTTGTAAAACACTAGCTGTAGCTGAACTTCAGATTTGCCCTCAATTTACACCCAGCTGATGTCACGGTTGGAGTTCCTGTATCGGAAACCATTGTTTTCAACTGTTTCCAGGCATTGAAAGTTTCACAGGGCAGCGTGAATTCCTCCCAGACAAGCTGGCACCCTAATTTAAGTCCCAAACATTGCCAGGAACGAAATATTCTTCTAACTTCCCTGGTCGATTAAATCAAGAACGATCAGATCGCTGGGAAATCTTTGCCCAAGTTAATTTATTGAAAGTCCCGGTCAGCTGCTAGTTGCAATAAAACCGGAATGAAAAAAACATGGGAACTAAGCTTTATCCATTGGCTACTAATGAAGTTACATTAACGCTGATAGGAATAATTCTTGGGAAATTACTTTAATGCAGTGCAGAGGTCTATGGCTAATTCTGGTTAATTAATAATACCCAGAAGGGGTGGGAGGAAACGCAATAGTTTAATATATACACAGACATTAAGAAAAGCAGGGGATTGGGGGAGAGGATTACATTTCAACAAGTGGTTGAATTTCATAAGGTTTACAAAAATTTTTATATTGCTGGTTGATGACAGCTAATCAGGGAAGATTCATCATTTTCTCAATTTAATGAGTTTGTCTGCCATAAGGAATAGAGAAATGCCCTCAAGGGGGTCTAATTTCTAACAAAGACCTGTTCCTTTGGGTTTCATCATTCTGAAGAAAAAAACTTTGCAGGGAATAAAACTTCAAAAATGAGCTTCCTGCTTGGAAAGGGGGAAAGGTTTGATCCTCAGTCGACAACAGCGGAGATCCCAACTGAATTTTCTACCTGGTGCCCCCAATGTCAGATATTACATCAAAGGTGCGTTAAATCTTCTGGACTGTCCTGCTTAAATTAGCCCAGGGGAGAAGTTAAGCCTCTTATTCCCATAAGCGCCCACCAATAGCTAAATGACTGATATACTAGCAGCTGGAGAGAGACATAATTCCTTAAGGGCTTCTAAGGAACATCTGGCTGAAGTCACCGAGAAGCAAGATATTAAACAAAGGCTTTTTAAAGCAAGATTCAGAGGTGGGACGTCTTCCCCGAAGCCAGATTTAGAAGTTGGAAATAGTCCTTCGTATCGGTAGAAGACGGTTGAATGGATGATTGGGGTGTGGTGCTCTCTGAGCTTGGTGGTTTTCTCGTAGACGTTTCATGACCCAACTAGGTAACGTCATCAGTGCTAGCAGGATGTCTCCTACTTGAGCAAGGTTGGACTACAAGACCCCTTTGCTCTAATCCACCAGGGTTTGGGCCTATCTGAATTCTTTCACACCAAATATCACAGATTTACAGACATTTAGGGAGCTCTGGTGGCGCAGTTGGTTAGAATGTAGTACTGCAGGCTAATTCTGCCCATTGCCAGCAGTTCGATCCTGACTGGTTCAAGGTTGACATAGCCTTCCATCCTTCCAAGGTCAGTAAAATGAGGACCCAGATTGTTGGGGGCAATAGGCTGACTCTGTAAACTGTTTAGAGAGTGCTATATAAAGCACTGTGAAGTGGTGTATAAGTCTAACTGCTATTGCTAACTCTACCCACTGCCAGGAGTTTGATTCCCACCAGTTCAAGGTTGACTCAGCCTTCCATCCTTCCAAGATCGGTAAAATGAGGACCCAGATTGTTAGATGCAATAATATGACTCTGTAAACTGCTTAGTGGGAGCTGTAAAGCACTGTGAAGCGGTATATAAGTCTAAGTGCTATGGCTATTTTCTTTCTTTCTTTCTTTCTTTCTTTCTTTCTTTCTTTCTTTCTTTCTTTCTTTCTTTCTTTCCTTCCTTCCTTCCTTCCTTCCTTCCTTCCTCCCTCCCTCCCTCCCTCCCTCCCCTTCCCTTCCTATCCATCCCAACGCAAGGTTGACTCAGCCTTCCATCCTTCCGAGGTTGGCCTACTTCTCACCAGCAGAAATGGGTCAGGTCTTTCCCACATATGCTACAGCCAGGATGTCAAACCTCCCAATGCTTCTGTGTCAACAGCCTGCAACCACCTGCCATTTTATAGGTCAGTTCACATCCATTTAGGTGAGGCAGGAATTAGCCTGGACACCGGAACATCTGATGAAGCTCAGACAGACATGGAACGAGTGAGTAACTGCTGAAAATAAATCAAAGCAGGGGAAGAGTCTAACTTTTAAGGATGCCGCATTTATTGTAGGAGAATACAGGAAGGAGTGATTTCCCCAAAGCCTTCGGGTTTTCCTGCAGCTCTACATCTGAAGCTAGGTCAGTAAAGGAAGACTCTTTTAAAAAAAAAAACGACAACAAAATCAAAGAATCTGTAAGCAGTTGGCAACGCTTATCTAGAGGAAACAGTCAACAGATTGGAAGCTCAGCACCATAATAGAATTATTAGTATTTTTTTCTTCCAGCCTGTGTTGGTTATAACAGCTTTTTTCTCTCTCTCTCTCTTTCAGCACTTCCTGATAAGCGGTTCTTAAATTTAGCATGCTAACTTTTCTCCCTTTCAAGCTTCCGGGTGATTGATAGACTTTCCACCCTTCCTAATTTAACAAAGCCAGAATTTATTTATTGTATTTATTTATTTTGTCAAGCGATTATTAGCTAACAGGTATAAGTATAAACATGGGTATAAATACATGAAATGGATACGAATAAGAAAAAAAAAAGAAACAATTGGACAGGGATGGTTGGTGCGATTATGCACGCCCCCTACAGACCTCTTAGGAAAGGGGTGAGGTCAATAGTAGACAGTCTAAGGTTAAAGTTTTTGGGGTTTGGGGAAGAAACCACAGAGTCAGGTAGAGTATTCCAGACATTGACTATTCTGTTCCTGAAGTTGTATTTTCTGCAATCAAGTTTAGTGTGGTTTACCTTGAGTTTGTATCTATTGTGTGCTTTTGTATTGTTATGGTTGAAGATGAAGTATTCATTGACAGGTAGGACATTGCAATATATAATTTTATGTACTATACTTGGATCGAACTGAAGGCAACGTAGTTCTAGGTTGTCTAGGTCAAAAAATTTCAAGTCTGGTGGCATAAGGAGTAGAGGACTCTTCTTGTAAAATATTTCTGGACTTTCTCAATTGCATTAATATCAGATATGTAATGCGGGCTCCAGACTGATGAGCTGTATTCAAGTATTGGTCTAGCAAATGTTTTGTATGCTCTAGTTAGTAGAGTGGAGAAAAAGCTACGCAGGATTAGGTTAGATTTATCAAATTTAACAAAGCCAGAAATGATTAGAGGGCTGAGGCTAAAATATATGAAGGCTAAATATATATCATATATAAATATATATATGAAGGCTATATATGGAGGCTAAAATATATGAAGAACGGTTGTGTACAAGAATTGGGTATCTCTAGTTTAATGAAAAGAGGATCTAGGGGAGACATGATAGCACTGGTCTGATATTTGAGGGGCTCCTACAAAATTGGGGGTCAAACTGTTTTCCAAAGCACCAATAGAGACGAGAAAACAATGGATGGAAACTAACCAAGGAGAGAAACAACCTAGAACTAAGGAGTAATTTCCTAACGGTGAGAGAAATCAACCAAGGGAACAACTTGACTTCAGAGGTTGTGGAGGCTCCATCACAAGAGGTTTTCAAAAAGAGACAGGACAATCATTTATCAGAAATGGTGCAGGGTCTCCGGCTCGGGCAGGGGGCTGGACTAAAAGACCTCCAAGGTTCCTTCCAACTCTATTTTTATTCTGTGGGTCTGTAGAGCTTCTCAGTCCTCCAGATCATGGTTGTCTCACAGGTGCTTTTTTCAAGAGGCAACTGGATTTTCTGTTTTTTCTTGGTAGACGTTTTGCTTCTCATCCAAGAAGCCTCTTCAGTACTTTTTACACTCTTAATCCAGAATCAATTGATCATCCAACCAACCGCTTATTGTATTTATTTATTTTGCTCTAGTTTTGTCGCTTCTGATTTTTAAAAACCTGCTCGTCGTTGAATGAATAAATATTGATTGATTGACCTTAGTCCAGAAAGAAATGTAAAAGGATTTAATATGAGCTTTTCCTTCTCTCTAATTTAACCATCAAGCCAATCCTCAAATCCACCAAGTGGAAAGAAAAAGATCTTTGTACATCAAACAATAATTCTTCTTCTTCTTCTTCTTCTTCTTCTTCTTCTTCTTCTTCTTCTTCTTCTTCTTCTTCTCTTCCCCCTCTTCCTCCTTCTCCATTCCTATCCCTCCTTTTCCAAAAAAACAGAAAGTCCAGTTGCCTCTTGACAAAGTCCCCCACCTTTAGGATTCTATTCTAAGCCATCTGCTATGGCTTCTAACTTCTTCTCAAAGATGAATTCTCTTTTATGTTGTTCATTCCTCTGCTGGCTCTTTCCTGGAGGTTGAGTTTGGATGCTTTGAGGTGAAACCCAGAAACAGGAAGACGTTACTTGGCCCTCAAACCACAAAATTGCTCCCAGGCTCAAAGGACTCCCACCATGCCAGACCATGTGCCTGCTTTGGAGCCTTCTGTTCCAAAAAAATTGGGCAGAGCGTGAAATGGTTGCAGAGAAGTCCAGCAGGCCTTGTGGAAACCACATGGCTGCACAATGCAGTCCTTTTTTTAAAAAAAAATCTGGCACAAAGAAGTCCTATCACTATGCAATTTTCATTATTTTTAAAATGAAAAAAAAAGAAGTTCTGGAAATGACTCCTTTTTGCATGATTCATCTATTTCCTCCGCCTCCAAACCGATCTTTAGCCCAGATTCTCTTACCAGATTGTGCCCTATTCTAACCAACATTCCCCAGTTCTGGTTTTAAAGTCCACACATCTTAGGAAGTTTGTCCCAAGCTATAGGAGAGTCAGTTTGGTCCAGTGATTAAGACGCCAGAAGACAGTGAGTTCTAGTCCCAACTTGGGTGGAAAACAGAAGGAGGAAGTTGTGTTTGTGCTTTATTTGCAAAATTATTAAAGATGGAATATACTGTAAACAAATCACTGTGGTTTACAAATGAGAGTTGAGGTTCTCCTGTTGCTTTAAGGCATACTCTACAATATACACTGTGGCCTTTGGACAACCAATAAATCCAACTGGTTTCACACCTGATGGATGAGTGACAGATCAAAGCTGCGAACTGTATCTCTTACTGTTATTATTTGCCATGGGTGAATAGGCGACAATGTAAATTCAATAAATAAATAAATAAAAACAACTGTCACGGATAAAAGCCGATTCCAGTTACGATATGCACAACGGCTCATTTCGTACCCAACCAAATAGCCCAAAAGTTGCACAATAACCACAAGAACATGTCAGCGAGGAAGTGAACGTCAGCAAAAGCAGTTGGAGTGAATGTTCAACCCATCAATCAAAGTGACTTGGAGCTTTATAATCAGATGGAATTAGTTACATGACAGCATCACATCCCCTCAAGACTTGGTTGCATTAATCGCTGGCCACATTTGATGCGTTGAGGTTTGGCTTAACAAACTAATATAGGAACACGGCCAAACCATGACTATCCCCCTTCTCCTTTTCCACCAGCAGAGAAATCAGCCCCCAAGCCCTTGCTGCTATGGGGGCCTAACATTAAAATCATGGCTAATAATGGCCAAGCAAACCAGGATACCCTACCTAACTTTAATTCACTTTAGAATAGAATAGAATAGAATAGAATAGAATAGAATAATGAAGAATGAATAGAATAGAATAAGGAATAGGATAGAATAGAATAGAATAAGAAATGAATAAAATAATAGAATAGAATAAGAAATGAATAGAAATGAATAGAAATGAATAAAATAGAATAGAATAGAATAGAATAGAATAGAATAGAATAAGACAGGAGTAGAGTAGAGTACAATAGAATAGAATAGAATAGAATAGAATAGAATAGAATAGAATAGAATAGAATAGAATAGAACAGTTGGAAGGGACCTTGGAGGTCTTCTAGTCCAACCCCCTGCTCAAGCCTATCTTTGTTTCCAAAATGAATTATACCCAGTTGCCATTAAACATATTTATTTTTTTTATTCATCCATTCTTCAGAAATATCCCATACCTTATAGACTTGTCCATATGTCCCATTCCCAACGACTTGCACTAGTTCAAATATTCCAGCTGGATCCTAGAAAAGAATTAAATTAAAGGAAGTTAGTGTGCTTCTTGGAAAGATTAGCTTCTTGGCTGAGCTTTGCAGACTGCATCCAACTTTTATGTGGTTTCTTTGGCTTTGCATCTTGGGGTTGATGAACCGTAGTTGATGGTTATGTGCAGTCAACAAACTTAACTACATCCCTTCTCTCTTGGTGCCTTGTGGGTCGTACGCTTTAATTTTAAAAAAAGTATTTCAATCTTTAGTAACGACTGTTTTATGGATTTGTGGTTTTCTTTGATGGCTGTGTACTGCCCAGAGTCGCTCCTTGTGAAATAGGTGGCCGTATCAATTTGATATGTAAACTCTTATATCATTTCCAGGCAAGGCAACAGGGGTAAATTGTGGTCTTTGTAGGATCTTCATTACAGTCCATGAAACAATGAGGATAAAATCCCCCCTGGTCCATTAAAAAAGCAATAGGTAGATAGTTTAACACACACACACACACACACACACACCTAAAATAGAATTCACCTGTAGGAAAGGAACACTTGGGATTTTAATGTTTCAATGTTGGAAACCGCCCAGAATCCTTCACTAAAAGATGAGCAGCAAATAAATTCAATAAGAATTTAAGAGCCGTGGTAGCGCTGGGGTTGGAAGGAATTACAGCGGGCTAAACTCTGCCCACTGCGCAGCAGTTCGATCCTGACCAGCTCAAGGTTGACTCAGCCTTCCATCCTTCTGTGATAAGTAAAATGAGGACCCAGATTGTTGGGGGCAACAGGCTGACTCTGTAAAACGCTTAGAGAGGGCTGTAAAACACAGTGAAGCAGTACATAACTCTAAGTGTTAGTGCTAAGTGCGAAGGAAGGAAGGAAGGAAGGAAGGAAAGAAGGAAGGAAGGAAGGAGAGAGGAGGGAGAGAAGGAAGGAAGAAGAGAGGAGGGAGGGAGGGAAGGAAGGAAGGAAGGGCTATGGTGGCTCAGTGGTTAGAATGCAGTATTGCAGGCTAACTCTGCCCACTGCCAGCAGTTTGATTCTAACCGGCTCAAGGTTGACTCAACCTTCCATCCTTCCAAAGTTGATAAAATGAGGACCTGGATTGTTGCAGGCAGGATGCTGATTCTGTAAACTGGTTGGAGAAGACTGTAAAGCACTATGAAATGGTATATAGGTCTAAGTGCAATTGTTATGGCTATAAACAAACTAACACATACTTCCTGTCTGGACCAAACTCAGACAAAAATATGTCTGCCTGTTTCTTGTGGATAAGAACTTCTGAAATGTTGGAATGATCATGCCACATCTATTCTTGGCGAATAGATCAACAGAACCCCAAATTAAAGTAGAATCAACCTCACCCAGGGTCAGGCAATTCTATTTTCTGAAAACAGCTCGGAAAAGAGATGAAGGACCGGACACCCAAAATCATAGTGCAGCTCAGGTCACGCCACCACAGCAAAAACTCAAAACTCTTCCGCGACTGGGGCACAAAAACCTGAACTTCTGCTTTAGCTAAGGATGCAAATAAGGTTTAAAATGAGTTTATTTCCACCTGTCGCTTTCACTTAAGGGAAAGCTGTCTTTTTTATTTTTTTAAAAAAATCCTAAAACGATTTGAATATGTAAATGCTTGCGTTTCAAGAAGAAGTCAGCAATATTCAGGTACCTGCATGCAAAAACCTAAAATTGGTTTGATCTTAACAGCGAAACAAACAACAGTCCAGAATTAATGTTATATATGGACAATATTCTCATTAGCATCGGTCACATAATGTATTCCTCTTCAGAGAGATAATAATGGGGCCTACTCCGTTTTAATCATAAAGCCAGTCGTGTGCAGCCGCCGCCAAAAAAGCTAACACAATCCTTGGCTGTATAAAGAGAGGCATAGAATCAAAATAACGTGAAGTATTAGTACTGCTTTATAAAACCTTAGTAAGACCACCCTTGGAATCCTGCACCCAGTTTTGGCCACCACATTACAGAAAAGATGTTGAGGCTTTGGAAAAAAGTGCAGAGAAGAGCAACTAAGAGGATTAAGGGCCTGGAGACCAAAACATATGAAGAATGGTTGCAGGATTTGGGTGTGGCTGCTCTAGAGAAAAGAAGAATTAAGGGTGACGTGATAGGAGTATTTCAGTACTTGAGAGGCTGCCACAAAGAAGAGGGGGTCAACTTATTTTCCAAGGCACTGGAGGGCAGGAGAAGAAACAATGGATGGAAGCTAACCAAGGAAAGAAGCAACCTGGAATTAAGGAGAAACTCCCTCACAGTGGAGGACAATTTAACCGGTGGAACAGCTTGCCACCAGAAGTTGTGGGTGTTTCATCATTGGATGATTTCAAGAAGATACTGGACAGCCACCTGTCTGAAATGGTATAGGGTCTTCTGTTTGAGCAGGGGGGTGGACTGAAAGACCTTCAAAGTCCCTTCCAACTCTATTCTGATTGATTGATAGTCAACGGCCATGAGATCTAGTGGCTTGGCTCAGCCAATCTGAAAATAAGCAAGGGACTGCAAAGCAAACAGGTTGGACCACTGCAGAAAACAAATGTCCCGTGTTGCCAAGTCTTAAATCTCCATCTGGTTTAAACATCAAGGAAGTCCATTATGCTCCTATTTCCTGTGCTGGCAACCCCAGAAGTTTGTGAAGGCAGGAAACATACTTGGTGGCCTTCAAGTCTCCCGCCTCCCTGGTGTTTTTTTCCCTCACCTTACTGGTCTCCTTGGCCAATGATAAAGACCCAAGTATAGGAGAAACCATATGGCGGAGTCCATTAGAGCAATTAACATCCGAATGATAAATGGTTGGGTCAAACGGTTGGCACCTGTCGGAGGAAAACCCGTAGCTGTTTTGGCAGAAGCTGCTGATCAAAGGGTCCAGGGACGCAAACCCGATGGTCAAGGAAATGCCCCGCCTCTAAAATGGGCCAGATTCTGGGATAATTAAGAATTTGACTGGCCTGGAACACAGTAATAGATCATGGCTGTGCCAAGTAGCATAAGAGCCAATCCAAGTGGAATACCTCAGCTTGAAGATAGATTGCTGCTATTTTTAACCCAATAGCCAGTTTCAAATCACTTGTTAGGTTAAAACCTCTCTCTCTCTCTCTCTCTCTCTCTCTCTCTCTCTCTCTCTCTCTCTCTCTCTCTCTCTGAAGGGAAAAGGGGAAGGAAAGGGGAGAAAAAAATGAAACAAAAAAGGAGATGACAGGAGATGGAGAAGTGAGGGAAGGGAAGGGAAAGGAAGGAAAGGGAAAGAAAAGGAAGGGAGAGGGAAAGGGAAAAGGAGAGAGAAAGGGAAAGGAAGAGAAAAGAAAGGAAAGGAAAGGAAAGGAAAGGAAAGGAAAGGAAAGGAAAGGAAAAGGAAAAGGAGAGAGAAAGGGAAAGGAAGAGAAAGAAAGGGAAGGGAAAAGGCGAGAAAAGAAAAGCAAGGAAAGGAAAGGAAAGGAAAAGGAAAAGGAAAAGGAAGGGAGAGGGAAAGGGAAAAGGAAGAGAAAAGAAAATAAAGGAAAGGAAAGGGAAAGGAAGAGAAAAGAAAGGAAAGAGAAAAGGAAAGGGAAAAGGAGAGGGAAAGGAAGAGAAAAGAAAGGAAAGGAAAGGGAAAGGAAAGGCATAGGGAAAGGAAGGGAAAGGGAGAGAAAAGAAAAGAAAAAGGAAAGGAAAAGAAAAGGGAAAAGGAAGGGAGAGGGAAAGGGAAACGGAAAAGGAGAGAAAAGAAAGGAAGGAGAAAGGAAGAGAAAAGAAAGGAAAGGGAGAGGGAAAGAGAAAGGGAAGGAATAGAAGTAAAGCGTTTCTCTGGGCATCTGGTGCAGGGTGGGGCAGCTAACCAAAATGTATGCTGTTGAATAAAATTGGTTGGCCAGAAAAGGTGTTATTAGACTCTTGCTGATACAGGGGCCGCGGTAGGCTGTTCTCCTGAAGCTCCTACTCAGATGTCAGGGACTCTTTGTTTTACTCATTCTGTTTTTGCTTTAACATGGCTGGATTTCCTATTAAAAAAAAATTAGCATATTGGTGTCTGAATCCTGTCCTTTCGGTTTCTAAACCCCAACAGATGGTTCTGCACTTGGCCAGAAAGAAAAATGCTTCCTACAATGTACTAATAAAGGAGAATATTTGTAACTCAGGGTTGAAACGAGGGGCCCTTGGTGCTCTCTGAACCTGTTTGTTTTCTTAGAGACGTTTCATTTCCAAACTAGGTAACAACATCAGTGTTGCAAGGCAGTGAGATTTGCAGAGGGGAGGAGGAGGAGGAAGAGGAGGAAGAGGGCTGTGGAGTCCTTGGTGCTCTCTGAGTTTGCTTGTTTTCTTGCAGACGTTTCATTACCAAACTAGGTAACGTTATCAGTGATCACCATGTTCCTTGAATGAAGTTAAACTGAATTGCAATGAAAGGACAGCAAGTATAATTTCCTTCTTTTGCTACTTGCACTTCAGAGGACAGGATTGCATACTTCCAGGGCAGTGCAACACACTTCAAAGGCGAAGGGGTTTGGTCGCCTGAAACCCAACAACCGCACGTATTCCTAACTTAGTATGGAAACACAGAACTTGTATGCTTGGAAACTTACTTACTACCAGGGAAGAATGAACAAACCTATGGGTACAGTTGTGCAATGAGATGAACTAAGCACTGTATATAGCAGAGGTCTCCAACCTTGGCAACTTTAAGGCTTGTGGACTTCAACTCCCAGAATTCTCCAGCCAGCATAGCTGGCTGGAGAATTCTGGGAATTGAAGCCCACAAGTCTTAAAGTTGCCAACGTTGGAGACCTCTGCTATATAGGATCAGTATGGTAGTAACATAGCGACAACAGGAGCCTCAACAGAACTACATAACACTCAAAAGAGGGGGTTATAGCTCAGTGGTAGAGCTTTTGACTGCAGATCAAGAGGTCCCTGGTTCATATCCGGGTGTCCCCTCCCTGTGTAATTTTATTTTATTTTTTAAGTCAAGGAGAGAAAGAACTTGGAACTAAGGAGACACTTCCTAATTAAGCAATGAAACAGCTTGTCTCCAGAGGTTGTGTGTGCCCCATCGCTGGAGGCCTTTAAGAAGAGGCCGCATAGCCATTTGTCTGCATTGGTTTCCTGCTAGAGCTGGGAGGTGGGGGAGGGGTTGGACTAGAAGACCTCCAAGACCCCTCCCAACTCTTGCCATTCCCGTATTCCAACTCAAATAAGCCTTTCTATCCTCTCCTTATGATTCTCGACTCTTGACGAATGTCTCTTTTCTTTTATGCACACTGAGAGCATTTGCACCAAGACAAATTCCTTGTGTGTCCAATCACACTTGGCCAATAAACTATTCTATTCTATTCTTCTATTCTTCTATTCTATTTCTATTTCTATTTCTATTTTATTCTATTTCTATTTCTATTTCTATTTCTATTTCTATTTCTACTCTACTCTACTCTACTCTACTCTACTCTACTCTACTCTACTCTACTCCATTCCATTCCATTCCATTCTATTTTTCTATTTCTATTTCTATTCTACTCTATTCTACTCTCATCATTCTATTCTATTCTATTCTATTCTATTCTATTCTATTCTATTCTATTCTATTCTATTCTATTCATTTCTAATTCTATTCTATTCTATTCTATTCTATTCTATTCTATTCTATTCTATTCTATTCCTGTTGTTTCCTACAAAAAGACTTTCTACTTTTGCCCATTCTGTTAAATTCTGTAACAATGGCCTAAAAAGCACGCAAAGATTCCTGCCCTCCAATTGTAAGGACAGCTATAAGGGGGAGGAAAAACCCCCCAATAATTGGTTAAGTGAGTCCGTCTTTGCAGCCACTTCCAATTGTGTTTTCCCACAACCAAAAAATAAATAAAAAATTGCAAGGCCGAAGACCTCAGATGTGGTTCCCGAAGAGGTCTTTTTTTCTGTACATATGAAAGAACTCCACTGAAGTAGAACCAAAGCTGTGGTGGGGTGGTGGGGTTTTTTTGGTACTCTGGGCTCCATTCCTCTTTATTCCAATTGTAGAATTTGCACAGTGTGCTTATTTTTGATTTTTTTTTTAAAATCCAACAGGGATGTATGGCTGGCGATGACTCCACATCTCAGGGGGAATTGATAGGATCGCTGATGGACAGGAAGGCCTGGGGTGGGGGTGGCTGCAGCTCTTGGAGGGCACATTTATCGGAAGCGCCTTAAGACAGGGACCCCTGACTGTGCTGGTCATATCCATGACTCAACCGAGGCACAGAGGGTGACTTAACCACATTTCAGCGGGTTTTCAACACTTTGCAGAACTCATATTTGCTGGTGAGACAGCAAATATGAAGAGACACAGAAGCTCTCTGGCAAGGCCAAGGATTTCCTGAACTCCACCCTTTCCAACTATTTTTTTTTTGGGGGGGGGGTAGGGATCAGCTGACCTAATAAAGGGAAGAACAAAACTTTGGATGGCCCCGATCCAGGAATTGCTGGGAAGACGTACAGAAAAGAAATTCATTTTTTAAAAGCAAACACGAGATTTGGAGAGAGAAAGAGAGAGAGAAAGAAGAGAGAGAGAGAGAGAGAGAAAAGAGAGAGAGTAGAGAGAAAGAGATAGGGAAAGA